GGAATATCGCTCGGCTCTTCGGGCACACCTTCAAGTAACTCCGGCAAGTGATGCTCCCGCTGACGTCTGGTCAGCTGCCACATCTGCGATCAAGTCTGCAGCAGACACCGCCATTGGTCATCTGCACCGATCCGAGGCTAGGAACCGTTTCGTTCAACCAAACGCACAGGTTGCTCGGCTTTCACTGCGGCAACGGGAACTGCGAATATTAGCTGAGTCCGGACACCATGATGCTGCGCAGCTGAAGAAGGAGCGCAATCGTGTCATGCATGAAATCCGTAATATCCAACGGACCGAAGCTAACTCTCGCCTGGACAGAATTGCTGAGGCGGTTGAGAGCGCTCCAACCTCCGCGCAAATGTTTATAGCAGCCTCCCAGCTCAAACGTGGCAAGCCGCAGCAGCTCTTCGTCGAGTCGGCTGATGGTCACATCCTCATGCGCGATGAGGAAAAGGCATCTCGCATACGTGATCACTATCAGGGGCAGTTCAACACTTCTGATGACCTGCTGCCACCGCCAGCTCCGCACACACTGGAGACGCCCGTTTCCACCGAAGAAGTAGAGGCGGCTTTGAGACGACTGCGAAACCAGAAAGCATGTGGGCCGGATGGTGTATGCGCAGAACTCCTCAAATACGGTGCTGAGTACATCTCCCCGATCATCACCACCATGATCAACAACAGCATCACCAGGGGCGACCACCTGTGTAGTGTTATTGGTCCAGGCATATTGATACCGTTACCAAAACCTAACAAGGCGCGGGGACCAGTTGCAAACCTGAGACCGATTGTATTGCTGAACACCCTGCGCAAGGTCATTTCACTCGTTGTGCTCAAACGTATCACACCACGTGTGTCGCATTATCTTGGATCCACTTCGTCTGGTTTCAGGCCTGGCCGTGGCACTGCCGATGTGGTGTGGACACAGCGCTGGATTTCAGCTAAGGCCACCCACTTCGTGTGGGATTGCCACGTCCTTGGCCTCGATATGTCGAAAGCATTCGAAACCATTAGCCGCACAAAGCTCCTTGCTGTTATGTCAGAGATTACCGGACCTGACGAGGCTTGCCTGATTCACCATTTGCTGTATGGTACAACACTCTCTGTGAAAGTGGGTGCCACTTCAGCGGAGGCGTTTGTTAGCACGCTAGGTACACCACAGGGTGATGGGCTGAGCCCGGTTCTGTTTGTTTGCTACCTGGAAGCAGCACTGAGGGAGACTCGAAGCAAACTACCACCACGGCCAGACACTGATGCAGCAATACCACAGGAAACAGGATATGCCGATGACATTTCCTTCTATTCGACTGAGCGACAATGGCTTGCCAACTCCCTACCCGTGATAGCTGACGGCCTGGGTGACTGGTCACTCAACGTTAACAGCAGCAAAACAGAGTGGCTTCACATCTCTGCCTCCACCACCGAATGGCGAAGATCGAAGCAACTTGGCTCTCTCTTGGGGGAAGAGGAGGACTTGAGCCGACGAATGGACCAAGCATCAACATCGTATGGCCGCATGTATTCGCTCTGGATACGACGTCAACTTGTATCCGAGGAAACCAGGCTTCGTCTCTACAATGCCATCGTCCTACCAACACTGTTATACAACTGCGAAACCTGGGGACTGACAGAGGCTGCACTGGAGAAGCTGAACGCCTTCCATAGACGTCAACTACGGAACTTGTTCGGAATTAGGTATCCCGCCATCATCTCCAACAAAGTCCTATATTCCAGAGCACACACACAGCCACTTTCGCACGCCGTTGCTGTCCGCCGTTTCCGGATGTTGGGTCATGTTCTGAGGATGCCCTCAGATGCCCCGCCACAGCAGGCAATGGACAACTACTTCCGTCGAGATGTCACCGGTGTGCGTGGACGCCCGAAATCGAACCTGGCCACGGCAGTCAAGGCAAGCACAGCTGCCAGAGACATGCCACTGAAGACCATGACTGATCTGAGTGGGCTCAGAATGCGCGCTTTGGACAAGCAATCATGGACGGAACTCTCAGCCTGAGCTGGTTTTGCTCGCGGCTGCAACGCACGGGGTAGTGAACCCAGGACAGAAGCGGACCAGGCATCATGACTTTGCACATCTATCGTTATGCTGCTTCATTACGCGACCTGTTTTATTATTATTATTATTACATGTATTATCCCAGTTCTGCAAGCTTACAATCATATGCTCAAGCGCAGAGCTCTGCCCTAGACTATGTATTTTTCTCTTTCTTTGCTCACCTATAGCTCATCACTTCTTTCACAGATTTGGTATTATGGAAAGTTTGGAAACCCCCTCGATAGGCGAAAGCCTTTGGGGAATCCTTAAACAATAAAAATTACAACTCCAACCCTGGCATTGAAGACACCAAGAATGCAATACTGATCTGACTTTGGCACGCTGTCAATGAAGGTCTGCAAGCTGTCATAAAACGCAGTTTTTTCAGCGCGCGGTCTGGCAAACGTCGGTGCATATCCTACAGCGATGTGAATACACAACGGCGAACGGTTCCGTGCACACTCGAATTTGACCCTGGCGGAAATCAATTTCGAGCTGTGCCCCTTCCACTGCGAGCCACCGCGAACAATTGCGTCTCTGCAACGACCACGCAGTACAATTGCAACTCCTTCAGCCCGTCGCGCCGAATCCCCATCAGACGGAGTCGGACGGCCACTCGCCAAGACGAGACAGTCGTCGACTTGGTAGAAATTAATTCCAAACCAGAGTGTCTCCTGAGGTCCAACGACGTCCATGCTGTAACGCTGCAGTTCCCGGCAAACAAGATCGGCTTTTCTCTCCTCGCGGAAATGTCATTTTGGATTTTTGATATTTTTTGGGGCAGTGTTCAAATCGCTGTCCACGTTCACCAAGGTTCTGACGTTCCACGTCCCCATGGACAACACAAATCTCCTTGCTGTTGGTGCACGTTGCGAGCCGAACTCTAAGCGGGGGTTTGCAGAGCCTCCGCGCTCAGGCGGACGAGGTTCAGTACGAGTGGTCACATCGGAAGTGACCATGGTGTCGACACTGATTTCTTTCCCGGCCCGCGACGACAAGTTGTACGTCGTCTTGTTGAACGCAACCTATCTAATGCTCCTGTTACCAGGGCTGGCTCTGGCCTTGGCCAGAAGCCAGCCCGTGGCTGAAAACTACTTGCAGAAGACGGAGGAAAAACCCCCAACCGTCACTCAACTCAACAACTCACACGCACGCACACACACACACACAAACACACGCACACACACTCACACAGATACAAACACAGATACCCATTATACACACACGCACCAATAATTCCAGAAGGGATTATGGGTTAGTGATTAGTCCGCAGGCTGGATGTAGGTGATATTCTACACATGTATATGTAATTCTGTTGCCAGAACATGTCGTAAATGTGGATAGACAATGTATCCCTTTGTATTCGCACCTTTCCAATGAGATTAATTGAAGTCCCCCCCCCCCAACACAAACACACGGGACCGGTGAGACATACATCACCTACAATTACTTCCTTCATTATCGTCACCTAACACATTCACACCAAGAAGTTAACTTTCTCAGTTTTTCGGTGTCATTAGTTGTTGTCTTCATACATAATACTGAAGTAGTTCAATAAGTACCTACTAGTATGCAATTAATATTTTGTCATTCATTACCCTTATCATTGGCCAGGCCTGAATATTTGGTGTAATGTAAATTCAAATTTGAATCGGAGTGAAGAGACCGTTTTTTGGAGTTTGGAGTTGAGAAGTGAAGTTTCCTAAATACAGCGTATCGGTGGAGAAATTGTGATGTAACATACACAGGATGATGGTTTGTGTGAGTTGCACCAAAATGTACAAAAGCTATAAGAGGGAGGCGGGAGGTCAAAATAGCACTAGCTTCGTAACAAATTCGTTCTGTCTACAAAGTTTAGGCTTTAGATTTGGCAATGTAAGCAGCCTCTAACTCATCTACGTGGCACTTGCTGCGCGTCCGTGCATGAATCTTGAAGCGCTCTGCAATTATGTGACCGATTGAAATCAGGCACGCATGATACACAGCCGTTCGCCTCCGTTGTATGTTAGGAGTCTGAGGACAGAATATACATGCATTTATACGTCATGACCCACGCATCTGATTCACTAATGCCGTCGTGTTTTGAGTTTGTACAAGCATGAGACATCTATCATAAACTACACCTCGCCGACTTGCCGGAGTTCCTCAAGTAGACTGTGATCAAACTTCAAGGGTACATTTTGAAGATATTTGACAATGAAGTCAAATGTACATGTCGAATATGCATGCAGATCACAATGCACTGCACTGATGTGCACACGTATTGTATGTTGAGTATAGAGCTAGTAATTGACACGGTTGAGAGTGCTATCGGAAATGCACAACACCTGGACATTTTTTTATCACCTGTGCCACGTACGCGCGTGGCCAAAAGGGATTCATCCAGGGATGAACTGAACCTTTGGCACTTCACTAGCTGCTAATGTTTGCTGCTGTTGGGTTGCTGGGATTGCAACTGAAGCTATTGGGAATCCTCACCTTCCATCACCTTCTACTTTGACGTACATAACTTGGGATAACATTTCGGATAACTGAACAAGCCACAATGTCTTCCCAGCCATGCAGTAACCTATCCTTAGGATGAATGTACTAATGGTCATCTCTCCATGACAATTACCCACGCACACCGAGCACGCTTCTTGCAAAACCATGCATGCTCTCCCATTCCAAAAGTTGTTGTTTTCCTGCCATGTTAACACCGGTTGTTATTCGTTTTCCAGGTTTCATCAAATTGTCACCTATTCTTGTCCTATTGAAACCTGCGAATAATTTGTTTTCAACAGATCATGGACAGGTGCAGTAGGTCAAGGTATACCCATGTTCCGTGTAATTACCAAAATATTGTCCGCTTCTATCTCCATGGACCGTCATAGCAATGGTTTTAGTTGTGTGGTGTTGCCTTATTGTGAGTAACTGCATTGAATGTGGTCTCTTTGTTCCCAGCGCAATGTCCTACTCTCACTGACACCAAGTTCAATTACAAACCTGTTGCCAGTTTCAACACACTACCAGGTACCACAGTATCTATCGAATGCATAACAGGTTTTCTGTCTAACAATAGAATGGAAGTCACCCAGTCTACATGCCAGGGCAATGGAAGGTGGCAACCAAGGCAACCTTTATGTGAAAGTAAGTCTTTACCTCGAAGTTCACCAGTTACGCAAGGAAAACCAAAATATTTAAGGAATATCCAGTGTCAGTTCCAAACAAACAAACATTCACATTTGGCCCTTTTAGTCAAAGCCTGTCTGCGACTTCTAGGTTCGGCCTTGTCCCATGGGTTAGATGGTTAGAGTATTGCTCGGGACAAACAAGGTCTCAAGTTATGGCGGGGCCTCAAAATTCGATGGAGGATGTCACCTGAAGCCAATGTCCATCATCACAAGGTCGAACGTTATTATTATAATACCATTTCTTCTCTCCAGGGTGCCTCTTGAATTGCAATGACACTAATGTGGTGGATTGTCATCATGTAGCGGGAACAGCAGCGGTCAACTGTATTTGTGGACAAAACCTCCAATGGACCATGGGCAAATGTCAACGTAAGTTCCTTCATTTAAAATTGTTCAAGTAGTATAACGTGGTTTGTTTGGCCAGCCCTGGGCAGAGATTTTCTCACTTATCCATGTTGTTGATGTTTTAGATTTATCCTGTGACAGTTAGCGCTTATTTTGTTTCGGCTTTGTTCACACACTTGGTCTTCTGTGTTACTACTTAAAGTAGTTCTTAGTGTCGCTTCGTTACAGGTGTTATTTCTCACCTTTTTTAATGGCACTGTAAGTGCCTTGCCCTCTTATAGCACAAACCCGATTCTTGCGTTTCAAAAGATATGCTATAGCATGTGCTATGATGGATGCAGAACGCTGGTGATCACTAATGTCAATATCAACGTTATTGTGCAGTGGCGCGAGCCAATTGCTTCATGGCATTCTAAGAAGTAGATTATTACTCCAATTCGTCACTGAACACAGCTGTACCACTGGGAATTGATACCAATCATGTAGAGCCTAAATAGCCGGGAATCCATTCGACTGAACACCGCCCGTTTCAGCTGTCTTACTTTCATAAATACATAACGCGAGAGCTACATACCTCTGCGTTGTAACAAGATCATGAGAATTTGGAGCAATATCCGTTTATTGACCATGGCCTCTGCCAAAAGATAACTCTGTTGATATTGGAATTCGCTTGTTATTTGGTATGTCGGTATGCATGATCTGTTTTCTTTGGTATATTGGTTCTATGCACAGCAACACATTGTCCAGAGTTAAACTCTACAACAGTGATGACTATACCCAGGAGTACTACTGGTAGTGGCATTACTGTATCATGTACGCTTGGTTTCCATACTATCTCAAAGCCGTCTTCAGTGACTTGCCAAGCTAATGGAACATGGACTACACTACCATCTTGCCAAGGTTAGGCATAGCTGAGGTGGTACTGCGGGAAAGGGAAAGTGTGAAGTACTGTTGACGCGCATGGGACATGCATGCAGCGTCAGAAATTCAGCGCGGAAAATCTATCACTAATACTATCAATATTCCTGAAGGCCTGGCCCAAAAATAAAAAAAGGATTTTGAGTCTGCACACCCTTAGGAAAATCACTTTCAATGCAGAAATAATATGCCAGAATCAGTGTACTGTGTAGCAAGTAAGAGTCTGTGTAGTGCACTTGTGAAATCGACATGAAAGCCTGAAAACTCACCCCACGACCCGCGACGTGGATAGCCACAGCAGCCCCTGGGGCATAACACTCTAATGTTCAGCTTTGTATGTGAAACACCCTGTCATAGCAGTTTGGTCATGTATATTCTAATCACCCAACATCCACTTCGATTAACCTTCATTGATGTGCCATGTATTAGGTAACAAGTGTGTGAAGAAATAAACGTTATTAATACCGTCAATAGAAATGTCCTTGCAGTGGTGATGGTTGTGTGCAGGAGGGTCTAGTCGGCTGAGAGCGCAGTGTAGTGGTGGAGGTGATATAAACATTTTATACATTGACCGAGAGATATGTCGCACCCTGTAATAATTATATGAAACAGAAAGACATAGCATTATTATGTCTTTCAGTCTATAACGCATGTGCTTTGTGTGCTGGTATCTGTGTGTGTGCATCTGTCTCCGTTATTTTTTGCAATTATTCCTACGGATCCAGCCACTACCATGGGTACGTTCTATTCTTTTTGCTGTCTTACCCTGCACTTGCACTGAATGCACCGACTCATTTTGAAAACACACTATGGACTCTGATGGAGCGCCAAGGATGAATTTATAGGAAGAAAAAAGGACCAAGGAAAACCGAACGCCTCAATAAAACAGTACTGTACGTTGACTATGACAATTTAGAAGGACAATAAGCAGAAACAACATGCAGCACACGATGATTGTTTCCCCGTACAGATAAGGATGGCTCATCAGGTGTGCATGAATTGACTCGGATGGAGAGCCAAAGATAAATTTCTAGAAAAGAAAAAGGACCAAGCAACCAAGTACCAAGATATTATTCAGGCGTTCAGTTTTGCATGATTCCTGTTCGCATACCTTTCCCTTTAATTGATCTTAGCATCTTTGCGCCACACCAGTTCTGTGTAAAGTTGCTATCCGTCCTTGAATCGTGGTTTGACCGTGTTGTCCAAAGGTCTTGCCAGTATCGTCATCGACGTACCTGAACATCCGCCAACGTCCTTCACAGCTGATATTTTCAGCCCGTGCTTATCTTGGTTGCGCTCACCTTCACCTCCTTATATTATTTCTATAACTTAGAACCTTCCGAGATGTGCTAGAGCTGATTGCCAGTTAGGTGTAGAACGTCAGTACCGTTGGTCAGTGTCGTGCAAAATGGCAGAAATAATTAGACAAGAACGATAGCCCTAGCTTTCTAGATGTTAGAATGAATCAATCTGCGAACGGCACTGTCGCATCCTTTCTGAACTCGTCAGCCCAACACAGAAAAATATGTGTCCAACCTGATAGAGGCTGAGAGATAATGGATTACGGGATATGCCTTTGGGAAATCCTTTAAATAATAAAATTTAATATTCAAATACTCAGTATGCGGACAGAACTGCTTCCTCCTTGAGAACTCATCAGCGCGGCACAGAAAAAAGAGGCCTAACCTGGTAGCAACTAAAGTGATCAAGCCAAAAAGCAAAGATTAAAAATCCAAGTGAGTCTTACACATGACACGTAAGTACTACAAAAGTGAGACCTACAAAAAAGAAAAAATGTAAGTGTGACAAGTGAGCAGGAAAAATGGGCCTCGAAAGTGCAGAAACAAATCATAAACAAGGGGTGTAGACTCACGAAAAAACCCAAGTGCTACAACATGCTCTTCTTGCTTACAAAGATCAGGCTTTTGCGTCCGAATACGAATAGCTTCCAGGCCCTCCAGCTGCTGTAAATATCGGACATGACAGTTTACGGAGAAATAGGAATCACTATACACACTCACACAATCGAGACGTGATAACAAATGCAAGTACACAGCTGACTTCTTACGAACTTCACCCTTATCAGCTCCATCACCTTCCCTTCCGCCTGGCTCCCCAACGTCTGTTCAATCGCCATCACCAGCCGCCTCATCGTCATCGGCTTCGCCGTCATCCGCCGCATCGTCATCCAACGCATCTTCACTGCCAGTCAGTCTCCCTGATACGTCTTCCACGGGTCTCTGTTTGTAGCTTATCAGCGCCTCCAAATTGTGTTTCGCTTTGCTCCTGGTTTATGTTTCCCTTCGCTGCTCTGCCCGGGCTTTGCCCATTCCTTGAATAAATCTCCATTGAGTAATTCGCAGGAGACCTCCAAGGTCTCTTTTCGAACGGCTCAAGCGCTGCAGTGAGTCGCGGTGCCCGGACAACAGGATATTGTGCCAAAGAAATGGGTTCAGTTTTGTGATTGGTGGTACTGTGGCTTTTGACGACTCCACCCCAACTCCACTGGTGGTGGTTCCAGTGGCGGCAAGGGCAATGATGGGGAAGCCACTTTCGGTTGGAATAGTGATCCACCTCTCTTCCTCTGCACCGTGTGTTCGACATTACCGCCAATCGCAGAATTTGAACCCACTGCTACGTGCCACGTTGATTGTCAACGCTCAACTAACTCACATGTGTGACAAATCAAAACAAATTATAATGCAGAATAGAGGTGTTATAAAGCCTACACGACACAACTATCACAATGAGAGGGAGAGGCATACAGAAGTAGGTTGCGCTTGATTACACGTCACAAAGAGTACTGGTTGGGGAAAAATATAGGTGAAAGGTATACACCATGTGAAAGCCAACAAATCATCATGGACATCCAACTTCATTATCTGAAAAATGCTAAGTACAAGAGGCAAATACTTCACGAACCTCGAACATTGAATATTCATCCAGTGGTAGGTGAAAGGAAGGCTGCTGGGGTGTGGCATAGTTGAGAAGTGTGGGATTCTGAAGCAACGTATCCATCCAGATCTGCAATGCAGGGTTAGCATCTATACTCTTCTTCTCATTCTGATTGACTTTGCAAATTTTGATAGTTGTTTCGTGTAGGGTTCATTCTGCACCTCCATTCTGTACTATGCCCTTTGTTTTGATTTATCACGTATGTGAGGTAGTTGAGTGTTCACACTTTGCGCCAGTATCTTGCCAGTATAGTGAGAACAACGGAAGACGAATACAATGACTTTCTGACGGCAGAGCTGTTCAATGTTGGATAACCGAAGTGTCTTGCGCAGGAGCTGGGTGGCAACGGGATTATGCAATCACAAGACTGCGCGGAGCAGTGAGAGAGGGGTAGAAGGAGTATGCGGCGTAGCACCCGTGCCACATCCGCGAGCTTGAAGACTCAGCGTATCCCCACGCCGCGCCTGCCGGCTCGCTGCCTTCCGAGAGTATCTACGGGATATGGGAACGCCAGTTCAGGTCGTCATCGATGGGAACACCAAGGTAACTTGCTGAGGCCACCGTAGCAAATTTTATCCCCATTATAGCGGACGAGACAAAACGGCATTGGCTGCGCTCGTGGCTTTACGAACATGATTCGGATTTTTCTCTTGTCAAGGAAGACCCCGAGTTCCTCCGGCGATTTATCGAGCTTTGTGATGCTTTTCAAGAGCCTCTGAACAAGGAACAATGGTTCTGAGGATGGAAAGTCAATGACGATGTCGTCAGCAAACTCCTGATGGATAATGGCGGGAAGAACTTCATTTATAGCGTGAGTGTACAAAACACACCGAAGCGGACCGATGACAATTGCTTGTGGCACACCTCTGTTTCTGGACACTTCATGAGACAGCCTTCTGCCTACTTTTATCCGTTGGCGACTGCCCAACAAGTAGCTTGTGAAACAGTCTAAGATCATACCATAAAAATGCCCCAGTGAATGCAGTTCTGTGATGAGGCACTGATGTTGGACTCGGTCAAAATATCAATCATGACAATGCCAGTAGTTCTCCTCTGGAACGTTGCGTCCTTCCATCGGTCCAGTGCTCGCACAAGGGCATCCTCCGTCCAGTGACCGGAGCTGCATGCAAATTGCGTGGTAGGGAGCTTTTGTCGTTGAGGTACTTGTCCAGTTGGTCCTTGACAAATTTCTCTTAAGCGCAGTGCTCATTCGACGCAGCGCTGACGTTACAGGACGTAAGGGGCTGTCGGGACGGCTGGGGTGAGCGGCTAAATCTTGTACGATTCGTACGACACGTGCTGCAGTCTGTTCAACAGCGAACGGTACGAGTCATAAGGCATGTAGTAGTAGGTTTTTCATTTTGACCCGACGAGACCATACGACGCTTGCAGATCACAGCACGAACAGTTCACCAGCCACACTCCACGAAAGCAAGTAGTAGTACTCCTGACAAGTCTTGTTTCGTTCCATAGAGATAATAACGGGGAACTCATCAGAGGAGAAGCAGTTGTTGAATGAAGGGGTTTAGCTGAATAATGCTATTTTATAGAAAAGATATTGGCGCACTGAGGTGTAAACACTCAACTAACTCACATATGTGACATATCAACACAAAAGGAATAGTGCAGAATGGAGGTGTTCAGAACCCTACCAGACACAACTATCCCAAGTGCTAAATCATTCACAATGAGACGGAGAGGTACACAGGAATAGGTTGCGCTAGTTTACACGTCACAAATGGTACTGAGGTAGTGACAAAGATAGGTGAAAAGTAGACGCCAAGTGAAAGCCAACAAATCATCACGAACGTCTAACGTCACATCTGAAGATTGCTAGCGGCACAAGACAAATACTTCACAAACCTCGATAATTGAAATTCAGCCAGCGGTATAGTGAAAGGAAGGCTGCTGGGTGTGACATAGAACTGTGGGCTGCTGAGGCGACGTATCCATCCTGATCTTGACTGCAAGGTTGGCGTCTAACGCTAAAATCCGAACAGCAGATCAAATCCTTCCTCTGG